CAGAAAAAACGACGAAAAAGAGCGGTTTTTTCAACACTTCGACCTAATACTGTAAACTAAGAAAGGCTTGATCTCATAAGTGAGGTACATGAGTAGACTCAATTTCTCATGCTGATTCCGAATATGACCTCAAAATCAAAAACAAAGTTGGGGAACATGACCAGAAATTTAAAATACAGGGATATTCCACTGTATTTGATCTTTAGCACCTGAATATGTGTATTTAACCTTACTAAAAATTTCAAAAAGATGTAGATCTCTTCCATCATGTTTGGGTTATAACTGAGGTCTTCTCTTTCCAAATCCACCTGACGAGGCCTTTAGGACAGAGACCGAAACTGATTGCATCAGAGTTTTTTAGCTCTTTTTGTGCAGTGAGTGGAGGAGCCCGGAAGAGACACAATTTCACAGCAATTTCAGGATATCAATCTATACAACAGTGATCAACGGTTCTGCACAGCTCAAAAGCGTCTACAGTGACGTAAATACTCGCACTTATATTAAGAAACGCCTAAAATACTGATACGATGCTCCAAAAAAAAATTGAACGATGTTAAAACATTTAATATAGAACTAGATCAGACTTTGTTCCTTGTCGTTCACAGTTTTCAAAGTAACTATGCATAAGTCCCGTAGGCCACTTCAGTTCGCAGTGTTAAAGCGCTTGCAAAAATAATCAGATCTATTTTCAAACATGAATGGTTATAGTATTTGGCGAGTAAATAAAATACCTCACTATCAAACCATCCAAGTTTTCTATAACGTAAAAACAAATAATTTAAGTTTAATACTTACACAGAAAACCGTCGCTGATCACTAGTCTGATATCGGAGAATAATGAGAAATAGTTTCATAAAAAGAATAACTAACAAATGCTAAACAGTCAAACATATTCTTAGCTATACTTAGATTTTTAGAAGGGTCCCAGAAAACAGGTCCGAAAAAACCTGACTTCTATTTTGGTCTTTGGACAATGATTATTTGTAGAACAAACAATAACCTATAATTACTGAGATTCTCAAGCAGATTGCTAGAATATTAACGGATTCCTGTTGGAAACATTTTTTGGATGCTATGTTAGAATAGGCATTCTCAGTTTAAACTGCTTGCAAAAATTTTGCTTCGAGCTTTGAAATTTCTCGAAATAGTACATATTGACAAGAACGAAAAAGGCTTCGTAAGTCAATGCTAGTGGGCTTTCGATCTTCTGTCGTCTCTGAGAATAACTTCAACATTATCCCCGCTTAGGACATAGATGTAGATGCGTAGGGGAAAGAAAGCTATGGAACAAAAGCTGAGAGAAGATCTCTAGTTCGATGTAGTTTTAGTTGCTGACTGCAAAGTTGACTTTGGTCCTGTATAGAAAATGACGATAAACGGAAAAAAACATTTTTTTCTCATGTTTTATACAGTGTTAGATGGGACCTGCTCTTGCTGCACCAGCTATAACTCAAGTTGTCGGACTTTTTTTCAGACTTTCTGCACCTCATTCAATAGAGAATTGCTCAATGTACAAAATTGTGAAATAAAATTTGGGGAGTTGGGCGTTTAAAGTACTCAAAAGAACAAAAAACTCAAAAAAAGTGATAACTTCGAAATTAAAAATTGTTAAGAAAAGCACTTTTTTCCCAGAAGAAGATTGACTAAACATTTTAGCATGGATGTATTGTCCTAACTCTCCTCTTTCAAATAGTACCTGAACCAAAAAAATGTAGCTGGATGGTTTTTGAGAAATTCGAAAAATACGGAGCAATACTAGAAAGTTGAATTCTGTTTAGAAAAGTTGAGAGTAGCAAAAGTAAATGCCGTACTAACTTTTGATAAAAACGTTTTCAAAAAATCTAAATAAATGGTTAGTCTCCATTGTGTTAGGGCTTTCAAATGAGATATATATGAGCTCAATCGGGGAACCATCAGGTGCCGGGTATGGTTGGCCTTTTGGTGGACTCTCTCTTAATAACAAGCATTTCTTGCTGTGATTCGCACTAGGCTATAGAAAAAATCATATCTCGATCGTGATATAAATAGTTCTCTTATATTATTCTCTTTTCAAAACTATGCTGAGCAATCGTGTCCTGTTTAGGTGATTTGTTGCGTAATCATGTAACCGTCTTAATATGTTTTTATAAAGCGCTACAATCAACATGTTCATACTAATTTGCGTGCATAAAAGGACTTCTCAATAATACGTGTAATTTCTCAAGGTTTAGCTTGTACTGCCATGTTGTGACATGATACACTGTCTTAGTTTAGTTGTGTTTGCTCCATGGTTTGTTCTCTTCGGATAGTAATGTTGCCAGATCTATCGGATGCTATATCTGTAAGAAACGATACTGATTTTGAGCAAGTGACGTAAGAAATGCGTAATGAAAACAAAACCGAATTTGATTGCGAAGTAGGATTAAAACGGAACTATGAGTACTTTAATGCTCCAATAATGTTTTGTTTCATATGTAGCGTGATAGTACTGAGCCCAAAACAACTCTGATTCAGATTTCAACAAAAACAGTCGATTATCTCGTTTATCCTAACGAAATTGTTCCAAACTTTGTGTCATCGTTAAATTCAATCACAAATAACAATAATTTTCTGAAGGTACGTGATGAGTGACACTCATTTTAGGCCAAAAAGTCCTGTTGTTGGTATTCATTTTACTCACGATTGTCGAAAAGATATTAAATATTTATTCCGTGATTTTGATTTAAAATCTCAACATGTATATGATAAACACGCTGCAGCTGATATCCTCTCAAAACGTTCAAAGTATTCATCATTATTGTGGGAATGTTTTGAAATTGATATTGTTAATCTTAAAAATAGTTATTAAGGATACAATTGGTCGAATCGGTACGCATTCTGACGGTTGATGGAACCCAAGCAAAACCTCTCTAGCAGAAATATCTAGATGCCTTTGCTGGTGCATCGGCCGATTTTTTTTACTCATTTAGCTAGATGCAACTGCTGGAGCATCGGGTTATCTAGATGCATCGCTCGATGCACTTCTAGATACATCGATCAGTGTATCGCACAAATGTCGCCAGATATCGGTGAAATGAGGCATTCACCTTTTTATTTTGCGGATTACAGTCGATGCATCGGGCGATGCAGCTAGATAAGTCGATGCTCCAGCAGCAGCATCTAGCTAAATGAGTAAAAAAAATCTAGTTATCTAGCTGCATCTAGTAACTTTCCCAGCAGAAAAAAAAAGCGATGCAGGGTCGTTTTTTTTAGCTTGGGAATTGAGAAGAATTTTAATCTAATAGCTCGACATCCATACGTGGAAAGAACGTCAAGAGAAAAATCAATTTCAATTTATTTATATGTGGTCGTCGGTGGTCATGTAAAGTACAGCAAGTTGTTTAGATGTTTCGCTGGATATAAAACAGCCAGAGTCAATATGGAAAACGACCAACATGGTTGATTTACTGGTTGTCAATGTACTAGACACAGATCTCAATGAAAGCTTGAATGATCATCATCGTCATTTTATGTATTATACACGGAGCTGATATTTCTGACATTTTTGATAGCGCAATTAAATTTGTTAGATTCTTTCTTCACGGAAATATTGCTCTTTACTGTTAGTGTTCGGAGCGGGCGTGTGTGAAGATGTCCCTCCTCTACTGTGGACGGGCATTTCATTTGTATAACCCTAGACTTCCATTCAAGGGTCTTGAAAGGAAGTCTAGGTAAGAGGATAATTCTTATGCTACGAAAAAGCGTTTCTGAGTAGCTGTTCATAGCCGTTTAATGGATGCGGCGCCGAAGGCATTCTCAAGAATGTTTTCGAAGAACGCGCACTACTGTAGTCGTACTTTTTGTCAAAAGGACAGATGTAAATGAACGCGTGTTCTGAGGCCTAGGTTGCCATTCGACCGTGTTCTACCTGCAAATTTTTTCCGGGGGACAGAGCACCCGAAAAAGCAGACCTTGATCTGATCTACTGGAATAAACAGACAAAAATGTTTCCGAAACTATAACTTGTGGGTGGTAAACTAATGATGAACTGAAATGGTCAATATATACTTTTCCGTAATAAAACACAATAGGTCCTCTCGTTCGTCCCCCTATTTTTCGTTGGATGAACAAAATGATAAAACTTATCCAGTCTAAGAGACCATGCATTTATGTTGTTTTCATTATGCAAAAACAATGATTACAAACTTATTTATTTTGTTTGGGGAAGGGGTGTCTGATCATTGATAAATGGTTCTAGCACCACATAAAGACTGAGAAATTTCCACCAAAAAACAGTCAGTTCAACAACCGATAATTTCTACCAGACATTCTACCAGATAATGAACATTGAATTCTACCAGCTTCTGGTAGAACCAGAATTTACCAGTAGGTAGAACTCGATTTTGGGGTTCACGATGTCTTTCTATCTCACAATTTTTTTTGTACGTCATTTTTCAAATAGTGACACAATATTTTATATAAATATTTACATAAGAACAACAGAAGATAAATGCTTTTTTTCCCGATAAACACAAAAATATACTAATAACTTGCTCTCTTTGTAAAAAAGTAATGATGTAATACGCTATAATGGTGAAGATATGAATTATTAGATTTGATCATGAAACATGATTTTGTAAAA